GACTGAACTTCATAATTTGTTTGAAATATGAACTCATTTTCCTTGAGGAGATAAAAAAAAATGTAATTCCATGGCAAAATGAATGAAGTGAACATTGACTGGCTTAATGAATCATATTCTTCAGAAATTTCTGGGGTATAGGAAAGTCCCAGCAAAGCTGAGGTTCAAAACCAAGATCTGTGTCTCTAATCTGCGCTGATTTTCAGACTCAGGTTGAACACTTTCTGTTTTCCCAACAGCCATTTATTTTGTCTCTGCATGTGGGAGATGCAACCTGCTCCTTTTTAAAATTTTGAGTTAAGTAAGAAATTGAGCCAATTAAATTATAATTTCATTAAATCCTTGGGATCTAACAACTTCATAGGCAATAGGACTTGCAGAAAAAGGGAAATGCAGGTTCTGTGAGATTTTGTGGCTAGCTGGGAAAGCCCAGATGCTCATGAAAGCCCAGGACTGGGAGTGTTGCTGTGGTTGATATACTTCGGACATGCCCACCCCTGTGTTATTGGCATATAGTGGCCCCAGCCATGGATATGAGAAAGAAAGTATGATCTCCATCTTGTCACCTTACTGATAAGAGTTAACTTCATAGAAATCTTTCTCTCCTCACCCTTGTTATTTTCCTCAAATTGATGCTTTAAAAAAAATAATTTATTTTTTCTTCTAGAGAGTCTGATGCAAAAATGTTTCTCCAGTGGATCCAGAATCTTTGTGCTTCTGGGACAGTCCATGGTGTGACTCAGACATGGAGGGTTTTTTGCCTTAAAAGGAAAAATGACTGACCATTCCTCCATCTGCCATTAAACCTCGTCAAGAAAGAGAGAATTTGAGACACCCAGCAGCCTTCAAGGGTCCACTTCAGACTCCTCCCCGAGGCAATGAACATGCAGAAAACTGCATCTAAATGCTAGTCCATCAGCTGATATCCATCTCCCAAGTGTGTATTTACCAGACCAGCTTCTACAACTGACATGAAGAAGCCAGGAACCTTGTCTACTAAATAGGTGTATGACTTGGGCAAACCTGGTACCGAATTTGATATTGTCCCAGGCAAGTGCCCATGAGCAAACTGACCTTGCTCTCCCGGCAGCCCGGCTTTTCTGCTGAAGGACAAATCGAAGGGCTTGTGACGTTTTCACCTTAC